CTGCCAAAAAAGTGCTCAGAAACTACACACGACAGTATTGGAGAGAGTTGTGCAAATATATAAAGACCAGCACCTTTAAACTTCATGATAGGATTTAAATCTCGGGGACACATTGCGTCTTTGTCTGTTCTTTCGAGGTATCACTGAAGTTTTTTAGCTTTTATTTCACAAATTGCAATGCTCTTTGTCAAGTAAGGTTCAACGGAACTACTTTCATTATCAGTTCTAATTCAACAGACGAGTATTCTTAGGAAAATATGACACGAGGAATTCCAAAAGAATGTTTGATTTAATTAAGGCAATGCACGCATGTGGTCGAACAAGTCGACAATTTTACAAATTAAATGGTCCCCAATAGGTTAGATTCAGGTAAAGCCAATTTCTTGAACTATGGAAGCCTGGCTGTAATAAGGTTCAACTCATAAGACATGAGGGTAAGCTAGGTAGCTAAATCAATTTGCTTTGTAAGTGAATAGGATTGCAGCAGAATATAAATAGCAGAAGCGCACAAGGAAGGAAACGCAAGTTGGTTATCTTTATTGCAAGTGGTAAAACAGAAGGTGAGATACGAGGTATAGAGTTGATTATTTACGTCGAGTTTGGTTGGGAGGTGGAATGCATGGGTTGATCTACAGGTCAGGACATGGGCTGACAAAGATAAGCTACGTGAATTGATAAATTCACTACAAGGGGAAATTTCCGGAGTTTTTGCGTAAAGCTATTGCTGTTTATAAGTCGCGGACATCGGGGATTTCTTCAGTACTAAGAAAACGAAATTACCCATGAAATTGCAATTAGTTGCAACAAACCGAGGTTCATTATCCAATCGTTTTTGAACCTAATGATATTCAAACTGTAGGTCACATTTTGCACTTAATGGTAATCAGTATGAAGCCACATTTTATTCGTCATCTGTAGGTAGATTTGAACGGGTTACTGCAGGAAACAAACCTTGATAAAAAGAATTAATGATATGCACTGATTGAATTCTAAATGCCCTCCACACACTGATACAATCAGCAAGTCTTCTTCAGCAAAGAATTCCGTGACACTGAATGGGTGATCATTGACTTAGTTAATCCCTTTTTCTAAGGATGAGTCAGGTTGTGTGCTTGGTTTACTGCGACTTCTTATACCTTAGTATTTGTAATGTTTACAGCCTAATATATTAGGGGCAGATTTTTGACTCTAAGAACATAGTAGACACGTTGGATAAGCTTCGATAAGGTTCACGGTCCCAACATTATTTTAATTGAATGTTACACCTTTGACAATCTCAAACGGGTATTTCTGGTTAGCCTGGCTTTACATACACGCGTCGACTTAAATGTAGGCGCGAGACACTCGAGCCTGTGAACGTTTCTTCAATGACGTTAGCGGTCTCGATGTTTACAGAATGCTGGCAGTGTACCTGGTTAGATATAAGTGGTTGTGATGGACAATGACAGATTTTTAATGTCCAATGAAAATTATGCCAGGTAAATTGGGAAGTGGATATCTAATATAAGTTTAGAGCCTATCTTAATGATGGTAACAGATAATTGTCGGATGTTTCTATTGCCACTTCAAACACGCGTGTTTCAGATATACAAATAGTCCCTTTGTTGCAGACCAAGGTAGAAAAGTGCAAGACTAGATAATCGGGTTCATGTTACACGTATATGTTATGACCAACGTCGGAATGCACAATTGCAAATTATACAGTCTGTTAATGTGGCCAATGAGTCATTTTTTGCGGAATTATTGCTATTTCTTGGGGTATTTATGTGGCTGAATGTGTTTTCGCACGTCTGGATAGTTTTCCGCTTCCCACCATTCCCTATTTCATAAGAGTTTCCGGATCCCAGTTTCATGATTTTAGTCTTTCTAAGCCAGACAGGCAATTTATTTGGGTTTCTGTGTTTCATGGGTTGTTTGCCTTACTCTAACTTAAACACAATCGTAAATTTCTAAGCATTATGTTGTGCCTCGCATAATTTTACCAGGAAGGGGCTCTGGCAGACAAATAGATGCAGTTGTCAAGTAGGTGAAGTGTCACATAAGCCACGCGAAAGTTTGCATTTGGAGCCATTTGGCCAAACATTCACAGTGACTGAGGCTGGTTAAAGTGGGGTAAAGTCTAGCTGGCTAGCTTTACTGCGCTGTATATCAATTGTGCCAAGAATGCACAAGTAGCACATATTTAAAAAAACTGCTACAATTTTGCTTCCACTCATTTTGCGACAATATTACGTCAATGGTGTCTAAATGAAGTTCATCAGATACTTTAACCCACTTTTATACGCTATCATCACGGAAGCAGTTATTGTTAACATGTTGTCGGTGTCACCAATTTGTTGAGACGCCATATCTCACTAACTGCCCACCAAAGCTGAAGTCGGTGGAAGGACAGAGAGTCAACCGTTTATTCGAGAACTTGACGAAGGTGTGTAGTCTGTGGGGTTTGCGCGTATTTGTAGCTCAGATGTGTGAGTCATACATGCGCTAACATCGAGACCTATGTGTGGGGATAATCTAAGATAAATATTCGTGTTAATGAAGGGGGAGTTGAGGATTCGCGCGGCTGGGACCATGCTGCAAGAAAGGGGAACCTTGTGTCGGAGGCGGAGCGATCGGATTAAGGGGTTCAATAAACACGATTCACAACAATGTGTTTGAAACCGGCTCTTTGAACAATTCCGTTCACAAATTTCTAGACCTGGCCAAACAACTGAGTTCCATTGTGAATGAGGAATTATGATATAGAAAACAACCACTAATTCTGTCCAACGAAAAGAAATGTTCCGATAAGAAATTAGGACAAGTACCCACCCACAGTACATGATGGGCAGATGGGAGTTTGCAATCCTAATGTTAAGGCATTAGCGCCAACCAATGAGGATTTACTCCCTGAATCACGTTTGGGCTAATATGGTATCCAGAGGCATTCGAACATTTCGTGCTGTTGGACTTGTTTCGAAAAACATTACCGTATAGTGCGAAGATTAGAGTAATAATCTATAATACTTTTTGATTTATACTTCCAAGTCTGTTGCTAAAAATTGTAAAATTGAGTTATGATAAGGTAATTGATAACATCAAATAAACTTTGAAGAATCCTGAAAAGAGCTTCAAATTATTCATATTATTTGATTGAGCAATGCACAAGATCCTCGACACCTGCTTTGAAAATCAAGGCAATGAAGTATTTAGGTCGTTTTCTCCAATCGAAAGCGCTGTTTTGGTTGACGATTTGACAAATCCCACAGTCAAACCTCCAAAGTGATAAAAACACAGATTTCTATTTTCCACATCTCACTACGTATTAATTTTCTCGATTAACATTAAGCTCAGAAGTTACCGAGACTAGCCCTGAAGAAATCTACTCAGATACAGCTATCAATTGTGGGAATGCCTGCATAATTTAGATATTTCTAACAAAACCACAAGTTAATCAAATTAATATTTTTGTCCCCATCACAATAAACAAATGCCAAATTTCTGTGGTAACTAAATTATTCTCAAGCGTCGATGGTGCTCTGTGATATCTTAGCAACGTCCTTGATTTTTCATCCATCTCGCTCAACCAGTTTTTGGTCAACAAAGAGGAATGAGATTCACAAGGGGTACCTTTTGAAAACTCCGCGTCACGTCAAGCCGTGCTTCAAATACCAGCGAGATAACAACCCAGTAAAACTAAAAACATCTTTTGGAGAGTCAGTTATCACGGTATCGGTTACGTGTTTTTTAAAAAAAACACTGGTAGTTGCAGTAACACCCTTGAATAACTTTCATGCGTCTCTAGGTTCACAAAACGGACTCTTCTTGAATAAACAGGCACACTTATCATGCAGTAATTCTGAATTAGTTTAGCATTCATGTTTAATAGATTTGGCTGGCCATATAAAAGTGGAATTCGTGGGTGGATATATCAACCGGTAATGGTCGACAGAATTGCCACGCTACACCACGTAACCGATGAACTAATAAATCGCCACTTAATGAGCATGGCCAACCTGAACTTTGTGGTCCGCATTCCAGCGTGCACGTAAAGGTTATGGGAATGAGTCAACTTGTGGGTTTAAAAATAATCCAAATTCACGATACACTCCCATACCTTTGGCAATACCAACTGCAAATCAATGTCGTTGGGTTTACATTACTTGACCGATTCACTTTGCACCGCTACAACCTGGCTGGAGGCAATCATTGGTGAGCAAAGTATGTGGCGATCAGCGAGCTAACCTCGTTAGCAAAAGCGAGCAAGCACGATCTAAGTCGATTTACTCGAATGCACTTAACGTAACTATGCTTGTTGAGAGATCGATGTTAAACGATATTGCATAAAATGACGACTTACTACCTTTTACAACCGCGCTATTACTGTAGCAATAAATCGGTTAAACTACGCGTTATCTGAGGTCTCTCTGTTTTCCTGGTTGGACATTGTCAATATCGGTCGCTTGGCCCTGGTGTTGCCCTGGAACTACACCGGAAGACCTCAAAAATGTACGCATTTTGAATTTAAGAATGCATGAGAATCATATACCACCTATTAGAATATGCATAATAAAAACACCGAAACATTTTAATTTTTTACGGCTGTGTGATCATCAGAGAGAATTGCTTCATTCTGGGGAATAGGAAAACCGAGAGAACAGGATATGGATGGAATTTGAGCCCCTCATATGAGCCACGCCCTTCCTCGACTGATTCCTAAGGGTGAGAGCTTCTACAAGTCCTGGCGGGAAGACGCCCGAGTCACAACAGAACCCGGGGAACAACAGATGTACCACGTCAGTGGGTCAAAATAAAACCACGACTTATCAACACCGCTCTTTTTTTCGTCCATCAAATGGGAAATAAGAAGTGTAGGAAGGTGAGGGCGCAGGTAGAGTAGGTCAACACATTATCTAGTTAAGTTCGGTGGGGATGCAAAGATGCGGGTAAGCAAACAAAAACACGTGTGTAACGAAGAGACATGATTAAAACGCAAATATGTCAATGATACACGGGGATCTTCATCCGAGAGGGGAGGAAAGGAGGGCGACACCGCGTTTGTAAAAATCACTGCCTGCCTCCTTGGTTTTCAAGTCGAGGGTAAACAAGAGAACGGAACGGGCGGCGTTCAGGTAGACAGGCAGCTTCACGGCATCAGCATTCACAGCATCCTGATTTTCTTTTACAACCCTGTGATAAATGAAAGGTAGAGTTTTAAATAAAGAATTGCTATCAAACTGCTAGGCGTCAAGAAGATTCTGTAGAGACCACTTGAGAACAAAGAATAAATATTTTTAACGACGGCACACATAACCGGTATGAATAAAGAGTGTGAATGAAGTGTCCAAGTTGAAAGTCAAAAAACTGACATAACGGATAGTTTACGGGGGGTTTAGGAGAGTCTCAGTAAACCAAACCCGGAATCCCAGCTCAGTCATCGAATCAAGCTTGGTACCGATCCTTCGAGCACTTAACTTTAGAATGCATTGTTGGATACACGGGATTAGCTACATAGATTCCTATTATCGGATAGATATCGCTTGAAAGACATGTGGATAATAGATTTGACAAATTACCGAATCCATTTAAGGATGGTGAAGGGCATTTCATAAAATATGGACTGAGAGAGCCGAAGAGTCTTTGAATCAGCGGGTTCGGCGCCCATCAATCGGAGGCCAGAGACCACGAATGAGCAATTATCCGAGGGTAGGGGCGGTGGATTCGCCTTTTGTGCATTCATGACCAGCTCTGCGCTGAGAAACAGTTCCTCCAGGGCCCAACCATGAGTCTGGGCAACTGCTTGTCGAGTTGCAGTGATGTAGGCCTCGGGCATAAAGAGACCACCAAGCCAAATACGGAGGTGTCGCAATTCACCGCCGGAAGAGGCGGCCTCGCTTATTTCAATGTGCTGGCGGACACGAGCGGCGAAATCGTTAATCCATTGGATGACGGTCAGATTGGAGGGAACGGTGTAATAGCGGCGCCAGGAGGCTGGAATGAGGCCCTTGACAAGATTCGACATCAACTCACGGTGGTAATTGATTGACTTGATGGTGCCGGAGCAAACCTTTGGAAAAAAATGGAGTAATCAAAATGTCATTTGAACAACGAATCCATTGAACAGTAGGTTTCGGATTGAAAAAAATCAAATAAGCGAAAGTTTAGTGAATCTCGAATTAACTGCAGGAATGGTCGTTGGATAACTTTAATAAATCCAAGGTGTGGAAAATCTGAGTAGTGCTAACTGACTTCGACCACGATTTACACAACTACCATAATTTGGCTAGAAATTACAAAAATAAAAAAAACCAAAACCCATTCAATAAGCGCAGCCGGACTTGCAAATATCACAACAAAGCACCATGTTATATTTAGTGAATATGGGAATGTACCTTTTCCACGCTTTCCAGATCGTCCCGAACAGTATTCAGAAGAGTTGCGCCGGCATTGATTTCTCGATCGAAGCATCGGAAGAGCGGGTCAGCAATATTCTCTGCAGTCCTGTCCAAGGGTCTGAGCCGGTCGGGCAGGAGGGACTTCCAGGTGGAAGCGCTGGTCAGCAGTTGCCGCATCCACGCTGGCCTGGTGTCACCCTCTTCTACGGAAACACGCTTTACGAGAGTTGTGGTCGCTGAGGCTTCAGAACTGGCGATCAGGTCGTCAGTGTTAACAGCCTGCTGCATCTTAAGCAAGTTTCCAATGACTTCCTGGCCTACAAACCAAAAGTAGGGATAATCCCAACCTGTTCTAAACATATACAATGTTACGGGGTGTGATCGTAGCAAAACAACCTAAATAAATAACCATTTACAGGCTAATTCATCAAAGGCATTAACGTTCAGAAGAAATAAGGGAACGATTTTAGCAATCACTCAATTAAAGACAGAAAGTGGTACAAAATTACCCCATAGATGAAAGGACAATTTTACTATGGTTAACTTCAAGACATGCGATAAAGGAATTCGTGGTGGTTTTTGGGGCATTGGGGGGTAGAACTGGTATTACTTCAAGCGAAGTTAATGTGACTAACAAAAACACGAGACTGTAAAGAACACTAGGTCGACTCACCCATATTGGTCAAAAGCATTTTCTCTGCATTGTTGGGCAACCCGAGCCACGAGGGTGTCTGCACTGAAGGAAGTTTCTTCGCCCAGGCAATTAACTCCTCACGCGAAGTGCTCTCTGGAATGAGGATATTTTTCCCGGATTGGCCATCCACATCCTCGACAAGGACAAAGTCGTGGTCGAAACTCTTCTCTGTGAAGAGGCGTGATAAGAAGGTATCGAGAAGGGTCTGGTCAAAGTCGTTGTCGATTCGGCCACCATATATGCACTGGGACATGAGCCGACGCATGGCGGACCAGGGTATCTGGTCGGGGGGAAGGTTGGAACGACCCTTACTGGAGCTGTCCACCCATACGTCGATCATATCACAAGCCGACTTTAGGTCGGACTCGTTGAATTCATAACGCTTAGTCCAGCCCAGTGGAGAGTAGCGAAGGCGTTCCTGGACGACGGCGTTAAACCACGCCAGGAGGAAGTAGAGGCGAGAGCGCTCCGCGGGTGCTTGAGACATCTTACTAGCCGGTATGTTGGCGAAGGTGCGCAAGAGGCTTGCCTAAAATCACAAAGCAAAAACTTAGCTTAATAGAGACAGACCAAAACAAGTACTGACTCTGAAGGATGCAATGACTTGCGCGACTTTTTTTAAATCAACATTCCTCAAAGTAGATTCACAGGTTTTAGCAAAGAAATTAGTAGTCTATTAAAGTCAATTTGGACCAGTATAGTGCTAATTATTAATAACCGCCTAGAATAGACCGGAAATGCCCATATTAGGCCGCAACTCATGTCTCCCGCGAAGCTAATATAAGAGCCAAAAACCCTAATAATCGATTTTTAGATGTTGTTATGGATTGATTTTAAAAAAAGCTTCGGTAGCAAGGAAGCGCATAGGTAGGACAAAAACATCAGTTTGTTAGCCAAAAATCACCCAACGGCTTCTAGTAAACGATTAACGCTTCGCAAAAAAATAATGTCACAGACAACCCTTACACGCATGTTTTGGACACTCCTTATAAATAATGTTCCAGAGAATAACAATTAAAGCGGTTAACTTGAATCAAGACCAATCCATCGTTAAGACTAATTGTTGTTAGATTTGACTGGCTTGAATCAGCGTGTGCTAAATCAATTGCATTTCTTAGAAAAGAGGTTTAAAATTCTCCGCAATCAGGTTCAACGCATTTGCCACTTTCCTGTACGTTTTTGTATCAGCCAGGTTTTACATCACCGTGATATTTCAGTGCCCTCTACGCGAGGTTGATGTCGATGGTAAAGATAATAACCGCTGGGATAGCTTTATGATATGTGGGCCGGGCATGAAGAGGTGAGGAGCAGAACCGTGGCAAATGCGGCAAATTACCCCACTTGGTAGGCACTGACAGGCACATACTATAAAATTCAGTGGTGCAGAGTGTAATAAAATCAATTATTAAAAATTGGCGTAGACATGCCTTAATGCCAGGTGGTGGTTCAAAGACAAACACACGACCGGTACGAAGGAGATTGACTGGCAATTTCGAATTGATCTCCATAGTGAGGAAAAGACGAAAACTGGGGTGAGGTTGGAAGGAGTGGAGCTTTTTCTCCAACTGAATTAGCCATGAGGGCGCAAGGTGAACGTTCTTCAGCATCACCCATTTACCCTGCTTCACGGCACTGTTTATCGCCTTCTCAGCCTGTGAGAAACCTTCGGCAGAACCAATGGCTATGCCGGTGAGGGTCTTCTTCAAATTGGCGGCAAGGTCCTCAACACGACCGCTAGGATCAAAGCCCTGCAAAAAAAAACTTTCAAGTAAGATTTTTGTCGCATATCACATGAGTTTACAACCATACAGCACACAGGCCCTAGCAACAAAATCAGGCAAATTCTACTTACAAATTATGAGTTTACTATGTAGTAGTGAAGCCTAATCCAAAAATTAACTACGTGAGGAATCGGACAACCATTTCTTAGGAGTCGAAGCAATGAGTCACGAAAGTGGACTGGGGATGAATAGACGAGTATTAAAGAGAAGCTCTCTATTCAGAATTTAGGTTTGGAGATTTCAACCAATGAAGTGTGATTTTAGCATGTGAAAACAGGTTTCATTACCGGGGTAGCGCAGAGAAGAACGGGAACACTGGCTTTGATTTCCTGCTCGACGATCGGGCCAAGGTCGAGGTGAGCGCGAGCGGCGTCCATAAAGTTTTGACCGAACACCGCGAAGACCAGCATGTGAGCGCAAGCCAAAAGACGGTCCGGCCGGAGGGCCTGGATAAGAAGAAGGCTATGTATTGCGATGACCACAGGGGTGGAGTGGGAAGCCGGGATCTCCCAGAGGGTCGGTACATCGGCCTAAAACCGGAATGCGAAAATGAGGTAAGTTAACGAACACAGGGAGCACTTTCAAACTGCGATCTATCCAACTACGAGTTTATTCGAATAAACGGCATCCAAAGTTACCTCCATAAGTAAACTCGTGAGCACGCAACGGTCAGGTTGAAGTAACCTTTCATTACCCCATACAATTCGATTTACAGACACTAAATACGACTAAACATAGGACAGTAAGTCAAAGAACAGAAAAGAATTAACCAAAACAGAACAGGAACCAAGTGTACCTGACTACCTGATTTCAAGTGTACTCAGAAAAAAAACTGCAGTAACACTAATACCCATTGGGTGAGACTAGAATCCAAGTTAACCCTCCACACTACACAGCTATCAATAACTGGTAAGAGCCAACAGAATAGGCAATTCGTAAGTATACCAGAAAACTGGGGATTTATTACTTCTTTTAAGCTGCTTACCTCAGGCGAGACGCTTTCCAGCCACGTTTGGAAGCGTTGCTCCTTTTCGATTGCTGACACAACGTTCGTGAAAGCCGGCAGCTGTTTCTGCAGTCTGTTAAGGGCGGCACGTTGTTCGACAGTGAGACCTTTAATATCCGGTAAGTCCTTGCTGATCAGTAGACTCGCACTGTCCTGACCGTGGAGGAATACCGAGAATTCTGATTCAAAACCCTTCAGGTATATCCTCGCTAGCAGAACAGCAAAAGTGATCTGGTCGCTATGGAGCATTCCACGAGCAACTCGATTGTAGGTAACCTGGAAGAGATCTTTGGTAATAATATCGAGTCGCGTCTTGCTATCCGTGACGCCCTTGAGATTTTCATTTTGTGTTAAGACAAAGTTGAAGATGCCCAGTAGAAACTGGAGGGAGTACTGGTAGAGGAAGTGAACTTGGTTGAGCGCATCCAGAGTGAAGTAGATGCCAGAGCAAGCCTGAGAGAGGGGCACGTACTCGTGCGAGACTGCATCCACTTCCGCCATGATGGCATCAGTCTCCTCGACCTTTTTGGCCACCTCCCCAGCCTCCTTTTTGAGAGTCTCCAGATTAGTAATGATTTTATCATCGTCCAGCAAATTACCCTAAAGGGCGAAAAAAACTATTAAGATACCAAGATGCAGGGGCAGAACATACGGGAGGGATAGGAGGGCTAAGCCAAATCTGTTAATGCATCATGAGATGATTGATTTTTAAGCTCAACTACAGATGACTACAAAGTATTCTAAATAGCCACCTGGCCCTAGTCCACTTTTTGTCTATTATGTGGAATTAAATCCCCGAGTCAAGAAACCGGAGCACCAGCACAGCAAGCGAAGCAAACACGTACCTCTGCGGCGTTCAGCGCCTGTAGCAGATCCTTCTCCAAGTGACGCAACCTCAATTGGAATTCGCCCTGCATTTTCAGTAGGTCCGACCGTTTGTTGTCCACATCAGGGCGCTCGGCTTTCAGCACTGCATTCAGGCACTGGCTTTGAAGACTGCTGTGGGTAACGGTGAAGTTGACGAATGTCACCCTCGAGCAGATGTCGGGAGCAAACTCAACCGAAGGATCACGCGTAGAAAGGAAAATTGCGAACGTTGGTGATAAATCAATGTCTTGATCACCCAAGGTGATGAGAGTGCGTCCACCGGTGCGTCGTACTTCGCGATTAAGCACCGGGTTAAGAATGGGATCGTAGGATTCGACGTCTTGAACAAGGAGAGGGGTCCCAAAACGCAAAGAGGATTCCAGGGTCTTTCGAAAAGCGTCGTCGAGGAAAGAAGTCTTGGCTATCTTCTTTGACTTGTACTCCTCCATCAGGAACTCGATAGCTTGACCACTAGGATCAATAATGAGAGGGTAGCGCTTAAAACGACGAAGAATGATGGCATTTTCGACGCAAAGCTCATCATCGGGTAGGACGCTGGCTTGCCAACGTAGGCGTTCATCGGGACTTGAGAGATACTAGAGGAGAGGTCAGAAACAAATGTGTTAACTTGAGAGTGAATACTGACACCGAGGGGTAGCATTGGTGAAGTAAAAATGTGTACAGAAGGGAAGAGGGGTGAAAAGCGATGACTAAAACATTGGTTACCTCAACACGAGCTAGATCCGCCCTAAATTGGATACCAGCAGCTTTAAGATGGATGGCCCATGAAGAGACAAGGCTGAGGCGTAGACTTTGGTCGAAGTAACCAGCATAGGCCATAAATGCCGAGGAGAGAAGGCAATCTCCGATTATTGTGGCCATCTGGGACTTGAAGGTTTCCGAACCCGACTCCCAGCGTGTTCGTTCGTTGCTCAATGACTTGATAAGAGCCACTGAACGCTCAACCTACAATGGAACATGCAGGAAATTACCATGAGTTAAACATTTAGTTTAACGGCAAGATATGAGTAACTTATGCAAATTCGCATTTTTAGGAATTTTAAATAGGCATTTAGTTAAAGCCAAACTGCCGCCAATTGTGGAATGCTTTAAGGCGTTGGCTGATTTGTGGGATGCACCAACGAGTGATATCTTGCCCTTCGGTGATAATGCAAAAAAACAAACAAGAGAAGAAGTATAACCTCTCATTCAGGACATTGCGTTGAGTATAGTTACGCGAGACATGACCCAGTTAGAAGCCCCTGTTGCATACTTAACATGATTTACTTTTATTCATTTGAAACATTGACGAGTAACGTTTACGGTTAATTTGAATTTGACAAACCTTCGCTTCGACTGAAGCCAGGTCTGCCTTGATGGATTGAGCCTGACTGATGAGAACAGCATATTCGTCTTTGTATTTGGCGATTGACTTCTCAAGGGCACTTATGGTCGCCTCAACGTCTTCGGCTTTCTTTTCGTTAACGCTGGCTGCATCCTCGAGAGCCCTCAATTCATCTCGAAGTGGCTCCACCTTCTTTAGAATGTCAGCGTAGCCAATCTATCAAAGCGTGAAAAATTGTGCGATAAAATTCGAGAGCACTAATGTGCCTGATGGGCAGAAGTCAATAGAGACTGTGAGTGATAAGTCTGCGGGGATAAACAAGGGCATGACAATTAGGAATTAATAATCGGATCCTCTTTCTTTAATGAACAGTAGAAATGAGGGTACTAACCTGTGCAATCGCCCATTTTACCATCGGTCCACACGCAGTACTGGCTCGGTTCACCTTTTCATAGTTGAATTCCGGGTTTTCAAGATATTTTTTCTTCATTGTTTCACGAATTGAATCTCTAGAATTGTAAAATTAAAGATTACTTGACAGTTTTTCGACACTGGACATGGTGACCACTAAACGAGGTCAGTAGCTATTTGAATCGCTCGAATAAGCCGTCGAGATCTACCACCAGCGAGTCTGTCACACCTCATGAGATTACGATTTCTATGCTGCAAAGGTCGACTACATGACAAACGGAATGAACCGAATGTGCAAAATAAAAGAACACACAAAAAACACTAACGGAATCAGTAAACATACGTGATTTCCTCTGTGTCAAAGTTAAGAATGCTTGGCACGAATGAATCCTTAACAATGACGGTTAGAATTTGGCGCCAATCAGTTGACTTTTCGCCTAGCAGAAGACAGATGGCTTCCAGAGCCATTTTAACGGCAGGCGGTGGATTTCTCATGGCCTTGATCTCCTGAATATCCTTCTTGCGAATACCCTCAACAGCTGCGACGAAGAGATAACGGTGTGCAGATACAGATAATCACAAATGACGTAAACGGCAAAATCTTATTGATACCTCGTGATTCGATACTAAAGTGGTGAACATATATGTAGATCTGGTTGACGCAGTTTAATAACATTAATTTGCATATTGCAGCCACAGGCAGCAAAGGAATACTTTCAACAACATATAAACCCATCAATCTATTAAAAATATGGAATTCAATCCACTTTGATATTTGAACCTCAGGGGGGAGGGGAACATGAAAGCCACACTAACGCGAGTTATTCGGGATATAAAAGGAACATATTTAGAAAAATACATCAGATTTGAATGTTTCTGCGTCTATCCACCCCAACTTGCTTCCCACAAAAATGGTGCACTAATACAGCACTGAAACCTAGGTCTATCAACACGGCTTCAGAATGAGTTATTTGTTTTCGACGTGTCACTTGCGGCTAACGAGAAAAATGATAATAAATCAGTTATCGGCTTACCTTGTTTGGCCTCATTCACCGCCGGTTCAACCTGGCTAAGTTCTTCCATTACGAGTGCTCTCTTTTCTTTAATGTACTCCCTTTGTTTCCCCAGCTCTACCTGAAGACTCTGGCTGGTGGCTTTCTTTTGTTCGGCTTCTTGCTGGTCCTTGACCATTTGCTTTAATTTAGCGTTAGCGGCTTCGTTCATTTCTTCTAGCTCCTTGCTTTTCTTTGTCAAGGACTTTTGCATCACCTCTACTTGCTGGACAGTCTCTTTGATCTTCTGTAAACCGACATTCAAGTGGAGTTGTTGTTCCTCCAGATCAGAGCGCTTCTCACCGATCAAGCTCACATAGTGACTTATGAAGTCGAGGTAATGACGTGGTGTAATGGCCATTGTGCGACCACCGCGCTTCTGGAGACGCTCGTTTGCACGTTGAAGGGACTGGTGCACGAAGACGAAGGCGTTAACAACCATGTCACGGTAGGTTGGTATATCTGGAAGCAAGCCCTCCGCAACGTAGGGAATGACTTCGGGAATGTGGTAGTCAGCACACTCCATGTCGAGTTTGTCAGTGAATTCTTTGCCAACCTAAAAATATTAGGAATATGCTTACTACGTGGCTGCTGGATGTTAGTTTCGCCTGCAACATCAAAAAGTTATTGACCGAATTGATTAATTGAACCAACAGCATCAAAAAAGGAGTCAAGGCTCGGGTAATTGACGTAATAACCTCAGCTGACCAGATTAACAGACAGGAAAAAATATTTGCATCACAGATGGCAGGTAAATTGATAAAAATTGCTGCGCAAAAGTATAAAAATACATCTTCGATTTACAAGCAGGCTAAATCGTCGTTTATATAACAGAACTTGTACTTGCGGTGAAATTTTGCGGTTGCTTAGACAGGGGCTAGAATTGTGAAAATGCCAATTCCATCAATTAAAAAACCGTGATAGTTTTAGCTCCCGTTGTCCGTAAACCGACCTACAACATCGAAGGTAACTTCGACGTTTGACTGGATTAAAGTGGACGTTAAAGTGGATTTTAACATTTCAGCTATAAAAGCTCAAGGAGCCGATTTTTTTTCAGTTTCCTTCAGTAGACTGATTTTTAAATACATACCCTAAATTGGTAGAAAGCATTTACCGAACGTAAGATACAGCCAGCTAAAAGGGACTTTCAAAGTTCCAAAGAAATAGTAAAAACCACCTAGAAATATGTAAATGACCTGTTCAAAATACAGACTGATTGCTTGATCTCAATGGTATCGCACCCATTAGGTAAAATACATTTAAACAACGATCCCATAAAACAAGCTTTTGTGAAAGTATAAAACAGCATAACATCTGGTTCACTAAGGTGTGCTCCCACGTTGTAAGTTGGTTCTCTAACTAAGAGTGTGTGTATGTGTGTGATTACCTGGAAGTAAGCTTCAAGAGACCAATCACCGAACCAGTTAAGAACGCATCGGTTGAATAATGCAGGTGACGTTGCAGCCTTGTCCTTTAAGCCATCAGATGATGGATTCATTGTGAAAACAACGTGAAGGTTTCGGCAGATTTGATTTGTGAACCACTTGTAAAGCTCCTCTTGAGAGTCCACCATAAGGCCCTCCCTAGCGGCGCCCTCCTTACACTGAGTCATCAATGCAGCGAATTCATCACCCTCGAACAGACCGGGAACCTCACCATTCGCCAGCAAGGTGTTCATTCGTTCTAAAAAGCTAGAATCCATAACATTGGACTCGTCCATTATAAAGGTCACTTTCTCTCCTTTGCATCCGGCCCGGCGGAGTACATTTCTCAAATCCTCATCGAAGTCTTCAGCTGTGTATTTATTGTGAACTTTTACTTGAAACACCGAGAGACCATTCATCCATGAAACAAAACGTGACAGAGTGGTTTTGCCGGCCCCGCTGACGCCGATTAGCAGAAGATGACCCTGCGATTGCCTGAAAACTCGATCGATACGGAGAACGTGGTCCAGCACCTGGTTAAAGAGAACCAGGGGGACATCAAGCTCCTCTTCGTAGAATACTTTCAGGCGAGCTTTGACGTAGTCCCTAAGCGCCTCTTGATCAACAGCGATATAATCCTTCGATAGCCAGTTGCTAAATAAGATGGGGCGTTGGAGCGCAGACAGACGGTCAATGAAGGGGAAGTAAGTCATAGCTACCTCATCAACATTTTGATCAGTCCAAAAACGTTCACTGTCTTCAATTAGGCGATCCTGGAAGAGCCTTAACGCCTCATGGGCCCATATGCGAACAAGACCTTCGACAGAGAGCGACTCAAGTGGCTTGAGAGCCTCATGAATGCCGCGGACCCAGCGAGTGAGTTCACGAGGACTGTAAATATAATGAGGCTGCATGTCGATAGTAAATCTTTTCTGGGACCGGAGATAGAAGTCGACCATTGCGTTGGTGAGTGCATCGGCCTGAGACCGCAGTGCAGGCAGCATTCGAAGCATAGCACGATTGAATGTACCATAAATTTGTTTAAGAGATGTTTCCCCTGGATAATCAACATAGATAACCGGAACGTGGCGAAGGAAACGATGTGAAAGGGGCTTTCTTCCTGGATCCGTGGGAGGGTTACAAGCACCAACAAATTGAATCCGTTCGAAGCGCACCCATTGCATGTCACTAGTTTGATAGAAACCGGAGTGCTCCAACATCTGTCGAAGAAAACTGATTACCCTTTGTGTGCCATATTTATCCTCGTTTGGTAAATTGATTTCATCACAGAAGAAAATAAGCCATTTATTAATTTGTTGCGGGGCGAGGACCAAACCGTTGGGGGTCTTACGATATTCACAGTACTGATCAAATGTCTTCAGCATTAATTCAGGTGTGGTAGCACTAGAGAAGTTCAAACCAACAACATCCATGTCTGGGAGACTTCGTAGAGCACTGAATAGTGTCATGGTTTTACCCGAACCCGGTGGACCACAAAGAACCATTGGCCTGTGTTCGGCTAGCCAGGTGTAGAGGAGAGACTCGTGACGAACAGTGTCAAGCGTCGGCACAACGACATCCATCGTATTGATTTTGTGCGTCTCGACCTCGACGACGGGAACCTTATGAATCCAAGGCTGCCATTCACCAGCGGTGGTCACCTCATAATCGATAATCGGAACACCAGGTGGAGGCAGGGGAGTCATTGTGACCTGCCGCACGAAATCACTCATTTGCATCCTAACACTTGCTGGACCGTCACCAGCCATGGACCAGATGATCCCACTGATAAGAGACTTGGTCACAAATGACTCCATTTGATCGACCGACATGGGAAAATCAGAGTGCGTCGCGTTATGCAAAAGCACGGTTCTAACTGTTTGTTTCAAAAGCGAGAAAAGACTAGTGAGAGCTCGAAGCTGCGTGAAGTCCATAACATGCTCAAGATCCTTGGCGAATTCGAGACAACGCGATACAAGCCCGTTGCTAGTGAAGTGTGGCATAAGCATATTTGCAATATCACGTTGAGTCTGAAGGGTCGGACTGATGATAACTTGAGCACCTTCCAGAGTAGGAGAGACAACCTGATCTCCAGAGGCAATCACCGGAGTAGTAAAGCTCAAATCAGCGTCCTCGTCTTCATCGACGGGAACATTTTGCAAGAAACGAAGGAAATTAGTCATAACCATATCGGGAGAGACGACGTCCTCCGAGAACCAGACCATACCGCAACGTGAAACGGTGGCTAGAGTTGCGAAGCGTAGGTCTTGCACCTCGAACATTATGCGAACGTTAGGTGGAATACCAAGGCGTTCACCGTTAGGCAGAGTTAGCAACTTATTATCGTCCAGCACAGAGTTCAAATTCTCAACCCACTCGGGATCAACATCACCATCAAAAATGATCCACTGCCGCTTTAATGATTCACCACGGATGCTGTCGATGATCTTTCGCAGAGTGTGAGTGAATAGACCGTCTGTCCACTCACGGGTGTTAGGGTCCAGGTAACCATATAGAGAGTCCTTGCTTATGGATTTCGGATCGATAACATGAGCAACTCCCTCCACACCTTCAACGCGTTCAAGTGCCTTAAGAAGAGCACGCCAAGCCATGGATTTTCCACTTCCACTTGGTCCGACCATCATCAGACCATGGTGAATACATGTGATCTGGTAAAGCTGAAGCACTTTCTCCACCCAGAGGGCACCACTGGTGCTGGCATCAGTCGTGTCATCACAATAAACCAGGTACATCTCCTCACAAACGCGTTTGAGTTCACGACGCAGTGAATCCATGGATGAGGCGGTATAAGCAATACCGGGGAATACATCCTTAAGGAGAGAGTGTAACAGTGGAATGTCCTGGGCGACCAGCTTGGGCACCATGGTTTCCATTATCGACTGGATTAAAATTTCCTGCTCAGGAAGGTGTTCAGCGATGTTAGATTCGTTTATCGTCTCACTTCTGGACTGCATTTCATCCTTAATTCGCTTGATGCGATCACGTTTCACGTTACCAGCTGAAACCAGAACAGACTTCAGCGCTCGAAGACCGAAGTCATAATGCGACTGAGGAGACAGTTGTTCGTCACACAATTTAAATAGAGGGACAACTTTATTGGACAGCAGTTCTGCTGTTCGGAAGCCCTGCGAGTAGAGCATAACTTGAGCAATTAACTGACGATCTGGTTGCGTCATGGCTAAAGAACGGAAAAGCTTCTTTAAGTTGTCGGGCAAATTCGAGCGCCCTGCGTAGCCAGGATTCATTGTGATGAAGATAGCCATGTCAGGGTTCACCGAAACGTTCTTGCCGAGAAGTTCAACAGTGACATCCTTACCGCTAGCTTGATCTCTCAACGCTTCCTGGATACCCTGGATTTGCTGAGAGACCGCGGAGAGCATTCTCTCCTCTAGGCGATTAAACTCGTCGAAGCAACCCCAGGCACCAACCTGGCAGAGGCCCACGAAAATTCTTCCCATTGCGTGGAAGTCAAAGGTCTCGTCACAATTGAAGACGAGGACAAAACGGCCCAGCTGCATACCGAGAGCCTTAACTGACTCAGTCTTGCCAGTACCCGCGGGACCGAATGGTGAGCCACCAAGTCGCGCTTCAAGGGCCTGTGTCATAGTGAGGTAGCAGCGGTCTGTGAGTGGGGTCTGCACAAGGCGATCCATTACTCCAAGGTATTCGAATCCATAAGCAAACTTGGCATTCGCCATGTGAATGGAGACTTGGGCTAGCGGATCGGATTGCTTGGGGTCGAAGTAAAAGCGCATCTGAGAGAGCCAGGTGAATGAACGTGGAGACTGAACACCCGCTTGGATAAGCGATCTAAGAACATCGCGCTGGTGCACATGTTCCATGATGAGATGTTCGAGTTTACGGCGACGGACAGGAGGTTGTTCGCGCAGGACAGTGTCAGCGAGAAGCGTAAGCATAGCCTCAACGGAGCGAAGGCAAGAAGTGAGAAGTTCGGGAGATTTCGTGCCAGTAAGTGCAGTTTCTACGGATTCGGACCAACATATCTGGGCTGCAAGAACAACCAGTTGAGCTTGGTATCGGTCAAGCCAAGCAAGGAAGCCGGTCGATTCCAGATCTGACGCTGAACGAAGTTTCTGCAAAAGCGTTATAAAATTAAGCTATTATTTATGATTGGTCGTCTCTTTAAAAAATCAGGCAAGTCAATGTTAAAACATAATATGATAAAAAAATCCGGTGCTAACGTTGACAGAAAAATCATCAAATGTGCTGCAGATTGACATAAAAACAACTTTCTGAAAAAGGCAGGGAATCCACAACGAGATAATCGCCACGGAAATAACAAAAATCACTTGATTGGGAATATGCTTTCCAGTTACGGTAGTTGGCGAGACCATTGTTGTAGTCTCTGTTGGTAAGTGAGTTTTTATGACTACGAGTACATTTTGAGCCCAAAATTTCCACCAGAGATATGTAATAAATGCAGCTTAACAGTTTGCATTATGAAGTAAAGAATCAGAAAAGTCGATAATTGCTACTTCGTAGATTTAAGTAGACAAAACATAACGGGACAACACTTTTACGACACAGCTATAAAGATGGTACATGCTCACAAAACCTTAGTCACATACGTGGAAACTTACTAAAAGTGATTCATCAACTATGTTATAGCTACTCTGTAAATTATCAACACTTGTTAAGACTATGAAAATATGAAAGCCGATCCACTTAAAATAAATACCTGCAGTTCGGTGACAGCACGCCCAAGGTAGCTGGCAAGGGTGATTCGCATCTCCTTTTCGAGCAACGACAGCCAGTCGTTGATGACAGGATTGTCCTTGATGGAGACAGGGTGAATAAAATCAACTTCTTCGCCTTCTTTCGAGATTAAACCAAGGACTTCAGTACAGTCTTCGTTCAGTTTTATTGAGTTTACTCCGGCAAACATCTTCTTGAAATGCTTCTGTAGGCGAGCAATGTTTTTACTATTACCGATGATTTCCAGCAAATCCTCGTCACCAACAAAGTAAAATCTGCAGATTCGAAAATGTAGGAAGATTTAAAAAGGTTGACAGTCGATAGCATTCTGGAAATGTATGGCCAACAAGAAAACCGTTTGCATTTGTTAGCGACGACAATAATATCTGCAGGTGAGTATAGCGAAATTCCACGATACAACACGCACCAGTAAAAAAGAATTATGCCGCCGAATCGATCGTAGTAAACATAAAGAAAATCGGGCCAGCAATTCTGCCACATTTGTGGGGGTTGTTTTGATTGATCTAAGATAGTTTTAGGGCGAACGCTACAACAAAGGTGAAATTCTGCCTTGAAGATGATTACATTGTGTTTGAGGGAACGGATGTTTCATAGTGCGATTTTAATCGAAAGTGGGGAGACGGGCAAGACCAGCGTGACGATCCGAAACATTCTACTGGTAAAAGAAATTAATGTTTAGCTAACGCTTGGTGCAGTCATATGGTGAGGTGGAATGAGCGCGTAACGTACTCCAAATGACTTAAGCCAGATAATACGACTACAAACCTTTGTGACGACGTAGGCTTCGAATTGCTACATGGATTTTCGAAATTACTTCAAGATCTCGTGGTATGGATAATGGCATGTATTGAAAATAGGACTAATCGAAAATACATAGTGATACGTTCAACTGGACATGATGGACTTTTTTCATGATGCCATCCACTAACCTCGGGAATGAAGACCTTTGTCGCTCAAGATATTCGCCGAGTGACCTCTGGATCTTGGATAGTAGATCCGCCAACCTTTCCAGCTGTCGCTGAACATTTGGGATGTTGAGTACGTCCATCACAAGTGGGGACTTCGAGACCTTCTTGAGCAAACCCAGAAACTCTGTACTGACACCTGAGAAGCGCTGAGACTCCTGAGCAAGAAGAGTTTTGATATCGGCGGATCCCGAAAAAATACCATCCAGGTACACCCATCTTCGTTGCACATCAATCCAGACGTCAAACAGCGCGTTTATTCGATTTAGTCTGTCTTCCCAAGTGAGAGCCTCCTCCTCGAATTGCTTGAAGTAAGGCGACAACTTCATTGCAGTCACGCTATTGATGTGTTCCTTTACTCGATTGAAGAGTTCGTCCCATCCACGAATAAGGCGACAGCGATTCTGGTAGACAACCAGATCGAGTTCATACGTCTTCCAAACCTCCGTGACCTGCTTCATGAACTCCTCCAAGGCCTTTTCACCCTGCGCAACAAGGAAGACGTCGCGGATAATAGCCTCGTTTTTCTGAAGATCGACATCCCACAATTGACCAAGAGTGAGCTCAGACATGACCCAGTTGACGTTTAACTTGCGAATGAGAGTACGCCAGTGGCGCTCCTTCAGGGCCTCGGATCTGAGATCGATAACGATGGAGTTAACTTTGGCGAAATTCTGAACAGTATGCTTGATGTGCTCATAGGCCGCGTAGTGACGCAAACGTGCAGGCACCTCTTTCAGACGGCGAACCATTTCGTCAATCTGTTGGCGAATTTTTCGGGGCTGCACTGTCTGCCAGGGCGTCTCGCGGAGTTGTTCTATCTCCTCCCAGAAGCGCGAAAGTTCTATCCACACATTCTTTAAGTCCTAAAAAAATAGAGGGAAGTGTGGCCTTAACCACAGTCGCAGTTCATAGTTAAAATTATACCTCGACTAATAGGATCAAAGCTTTTACGTAAGGATCAACAGGTTTCAGGTACAGTGGCTCATTAGTAAAAATATTTGAAAGTTAAAAATTAGCAAACCTGTGATTGCAATTTTTGAATGCCAATGAGAAAGGACCAATTACAATCCACACTCTACAGCAAGCGTAGTACGCGACACAGTACTTCAAAATGATGATTCATCTGATTATGCACAGCAAAAGGAAGGCCTGTGATTTTTACTTAGGTGCAAATACGCGTTCATAATACTTGAACATTCTCACAAACCCGTGTGCGTTTGAATCAGAAGAAGTTGATAGACAAGCAGGAAAGGTATCACGCACCAAGAATCGAATAAACATTATACTGAAGGTAACTAGTGAAACAAAGTGCAGGTCGACATTCGTGTCGAGACGAGCATTCACAATAATAGAGAAACGATGCTTCATAACAACAGCGCAACCCTTCTAAAAGTAAGTTTTTAAAAAATAATCCGAAGCCGCTACTTTTGTTTACACACGGCACATTTAGGCAACCAAACAACAAAGTGTTGTAATCAATACGCACACTTGATCAAGTGTGACAGGTTTACGTGGAAAAGAAGTGATTCTTTTTCAACATGATTGACAACATAAATCACCAAGCAACTAAGGATTGTCAATAAAAGATTTAAATCACAGTTCTCACTAATTTGAGTCGGTTACCCAAACAGAAGCGGTCGCCAGAAGATGGAAAACTTCTCTTAAATACAAGACTACCATTTGTGAAAGTGAAACATAAGCAACCAATTCAAAAGTCGATTTGTGATTACTTTTAGGCCTTACCAAAGTTGATTTTCTGATGTACACCCACAAACGACGAAACCCAGTAAAAAAGTAGATACTAAGATGCCTTTGTGGTATTACTCGTCATATAATAATACCATAGATGAATTTCAAAATTTAGTGAATTGCGGTGTGTCAAACGATAGCTTATGATTTACTGATTGTTACATGCTAATTTGGAGGTGGATTGACAGGTCACAGGTTTGAGTTTCGATCAGTATTGTGGTAATTAGTCCAGTTCAGATGGCAAACAGGAGACATATCCGCCATTTCATATCAGCGATTTTTTCATAAGACCAGCTATAGAAAAACAGAGCCTTCACGTATGGATGCAGGTAAAAGTAAAAGCAAATAACCTGGAGCTCTTCGATTGCCACTTGAACCTTCTCTTCGCTAGCCGGCAGAACACCTTCCTCGGTGAGTTCTAGTGCTTCTTTAGCATGCTGGATGTTCGCCCTTTCCTCTTTCAAACGCAAAAACTGTCCTTCGAGAATAGTCAGAGCCTTCACAGCTTCGTCCGGTTTCATGTTTCCTTGAATCGGTTTCTCTTTGTGCCAACTGTTCAGCAGCTCTGCTGTCTTACCCTCAACAGCTTTATCCTCAGCAACAATTTTCATTTGGAGGCTTGCCACTTCTGTGGAAATGCTGGATTCTTTGCGTCGAAGAATCTCTTGGAAGGCACTCCATTCACCTTGAATGTTCTCAGCATCTCGCCAGTTGGATGGAAACTGGAAGCGATCACGATAGAGGATGTTCTGACCCGTTTTGCAGAGATTAACTTGCTTTTCCCACTGTTTGAGTTTACGTTTTAGAGACTGCGTATATGTTATGGTGTTCACCGCGTCGCCGGTCGCCTTCGAGTCAACAGAACGCTTCTCCAATTCGGTTCGAGCCTCGGAAATCTGCTTATAGAAATCCTGCATCTCATTGCCCAAGTTACTACCGAATTTGCTGAGAATCTCCTTGTGCCAACTGTCGTATTTCATCGTGACCTTGGACTGCACCTTCCCGAAAATTATGACGACAGGACCGAATGCTTTTTGGGTCTCCGCAACGTCAAAGTGCTTCCGCATTACTTTAATTTCGTCAAGCACATTCATCCACACCTATACCAAAAAATTAAGAGTAGCTACAGCAGAAATAACTTCATTACAAATTCGTAGTACAAAAATTTCGTGATTAAAAAAGGAGATTACCAATAACTTTTGGGATCCAAAGCCATGCAAACCAATGGTAGCCAACACCTTTACACAAATCCATGCTAAACCAATAAGACGGAGCAAATACTACAACTGAAAACACAGCTTTTGGCCTGATGGCGCAACGTGATTGCCTGATTTGGCAGCCCGAAGTAATGGTCACATGCACTTCTTGTTTGCGCACACGATGAGCAAAGTTACACTGCAGTGACGAGAATGCAAAGAAGGGAGTCTTTACATTACTTAGCATGAAGTCGTTTTATACTGAAGTAAAAGGAGAAGCCTGCGCTTTTATTTCAGAAGCTGCGGTAAATTAAATTCGTGGGGAAATCGGAGCAACTGCCTACCTCAAGGTTCGTTCCTATTCGAGTATATACTTGATCGGACTGAAGATCCCATAAGGCCTGATAGCTAGTCCACGTCTTCACGTACTCCTCTGTTTCAGCAAGAATATCGTAAATGGCATCGTGGGCATGTATCAGCACGTCACTATCCTCAGTAAGTTTCGATATGAGGTTCATGTAGAGCTTCTGTGATGTAATTTCTGTGTTAAGTCCAACCTAAAGAGACAAGAATGCTGAATTACGACAAACTTGACATTCTAACATCCACCACATGGATGAGACTTGGATGAACTGGGCAATTACAATGGGGGGGGGGTATAAATCCATCCCCAAATGCAATCAAAACTAAACCAAGACATCTAAAGCTTTTCACATCCATTCTTTGTGTAATGAACAGCTATTATTAGGGCTAAGGGTCATAAAATAAGTAGGCGCATTTGTGTATCACCTTGGGAGACGGATTAGAATTTGGGTCAACATGACAGCCATGGTGAGATATTTCAGGGTTTTCATTTCGATAGTCAAACTGATGAACATATTTGATACTCTTGATTTGGTCAAACATTGGAGGCATGTGTGAACCGAAGTAGGAAATAAGTCTTAGGTAAGATGGAGCTAAAATCAACATAAATAATCCTTAAATTCACGGTCAGCGCAATCCGTGTAGCAAAATAGAATGAATTTAACGATGTGACCCACTTGACGGCTTACAGTTCTCATCCAGCAACATGTTCGTAGATTATACACAACAACTGTACCTGATAGCGAGAGTGTTGAATACGCGGGAGATTGAGGACGATATTCTGCCAAGCCGTGAGCTGAGCGAGGAGTTCGTGGGAGGCGACTTCGATGCTGGGGTGGAGGTGCATCTGTTGGTTAGTGATGCGCAGTTCAAGGAATACAGGTTTGATCTTGGGATCACCACCGAGGCGCTGTTGAGATACCATCATAGACGAGGTCATCAGGTGATCAGGGTCTTCTGTTTCCTCCTACAGCACCAATTTGCACTCATCAAAGCGCATTTTAGGCACACAGAGCAATAGTTAATGTATGACCATGGACGGTAAATGAGCGTAAAATTACACTTGTGCGATTGTATACACTCACGAAAAAAGTCAAAGAAGCATGAGGAGCGTGTGAACATAATCTTCTACCTGAGTTTATCCAAATTCATTACCAGATTCAGTAATTTTGGAATTTGGAGGACGATGATGCTAATTATAATGGACATACTACGGCTTTTAGAATCCCCAACAGTTACTGAATTCTAAATCAGGGCTCATATAAAGATGATTTGACGGCGAACAAAAAACAGCTGATGCAACCACAATCAATGTGCACTTCCACGTAGTCATAAAATAAAATCGGCGCATGCTCAAGTGTGTTCACAGGCGCCTGCAATATCACGCGTTTTAAAGTTAACCAAGAGAAAAAGGTGTTAAAACGGTGATCCACAGATATGCAAAGAACGAAATAAAACATTAAAAAGTGTAGAAATGTGATCGAATGATGGGCTGAAGCCGTCTTCAGATTCCTGTCTACAGTAAATCAAGTAATAGACTAAAGCACCTATTCTCGACACTAAATTAAGCTACTTATTCTTGTGGCAACGTGAAAGCGCACATAACCTGCGACAGATAAACTGGGTGCTGGTATGGGGAAAATAGGAACGCACACTTTGCTTTTCGTCACTATGCAGAACACGCGTCCACTCACGGATACCGGCATCGAGGCGGGTAATCAGACGCTTCTCGACCTCAGCGTCTAACCTTGCAACCCACTGGGCCAAGTTTGAGTACTTATGAAGATTTAAGTCATCAACCAATTTCTGGATCTTGCCTAAAACAAAACGTTCACAGTAAGATCAACCATTTTAAATTGCCAGTTCGGTTAGCACCTGATGTACTGTCTTATTTAATTAGAATTCAAATTGAAGGTGAAATTAATAAAACGTAATGGGAAAGGCGCATAGTGAACATGGTAGTAACAAGCGACTTTAACAGTTATAGTTGGATGGATAGAAAAAGGGGCTAGATTACCATGTAATAGACGTAATCGGTTGGACAAACATGCCTAATGGATAACATGACCCACTGGAGACAAAGCCAGACTGCTGGATAAAAAGTAGAGATTACTCACCAATTATGTCTTTAAAAGAATCCTCTGAGTACGGACACGTCACGAGAGCTTTCAACTGTAAATCAATTTCCCGAGTGACCTGAAGTAAATCCTCAACTTTTTCCTGGAACTGGAGGATCGTCTCTGCAAACTTCTGAACAAAAACGGGAAGTCGATAGGACTCCCAATTTAACGGGATACCCTCGGTAATTAGACTCTGAACTTCCCGACGCAATCCAGCACACAGAACCGCTAAGTGCTGTTCGTCATTGGCATCAATCTTGGCACAAGTCGCCTCGTAAATTTGGACGCTTTGGTTTAACGAGGTTGCCGAGGGGTACAAGAGACTCGTCTGATGGGCACGGTTAACAATTGAGAGTGGCACGCGGAACCCCATTGCTTTCATACAGCGGACCTAAAATCAAGACAAAAACATACAGGTTTATCTGCGAGATATTACTAAACGATCTCAATGACTGCCTATTTCCTGGCTCCTGAACTAAAGGCACTTTGCTTAGACCGACGTCTGAACATGTGCCAAGTACACTGTTTCTAAAATTTTGATGAAGCCAGACAGCGCTCGCAGACATTGGCTTCCATCCAGGAAATTCAAAAATCCAAGTTTGCAATAAAAAAGTAGGGTCCGGAGAGGCCTACCAATAAATATGAGGTAATGGTCAACGAGGAAAAAGCCGGCGTAATACTACAGATCTGAACCTGACGAATGAACCAGATCTCTCGGTGGATTGACATACGACTACTACGGACATGTTGAAAGGTAATGCATGTTACCATTTTGTGAATTTGATAAAAAAAAACTCGGAAGCAGCGTTTGACCACACATGTTAGGCAATCAAAATAAATAAATAAATATGGTATTAAGAACTACGAAATCTTGTCTGCTGTTCTTGTGTTCGTAACTTGGAACGCGCCAATTATCACTCAAAGTAGACTGAATACCTTATTTCCTCGGTTCCTTTGAGCACGCGTAACCTCTGCACAGGGAAAAGGCAAAGGTACCAGCCTTATCCCGCTCAGTCAACAATAACGCAATTGTCCTCCACTGAGAGCAACACACTAACGTCAGCCAGAGGGGTCTGGTGATAACCCAGGACACGGAACGGTGAGCAGAAAAGTACAATCATGCATATTGCCGGCAAACTACCCACAGATGACTTTTTAAACTGCTAAGAAATCCTACCATGAGCTGTCAGCATTGATACATTTACTAAGTGGAAAAGGCGAGGAGCAATTAGCTTGTGATAAGGCTATAGACTATCAAACAAGGTACAAACGCCTCGACCACCATCAACATTTTCTGATTTTTATTGAAAATAGAATTCAGTCAAGAAAGAAACTAGAAGCACATATGCACCAAAAACCATGTAACTAAAATCCATACCTCCTTAGCCAGAGTGATAACATCAAGCATAAAGGTGACCGTTAGCTTCATTATAGTCGTCGTTTCGGTGACTCCAGCTTTGTTAGTAATCTTTGCGCGAACAGGTTCCACAAAGAAGATACGACGAGTGACGTTGATTTGAGTCTGCTGTACCTTACGACACCAGTCGTCGAAAATAGCATTTGTATTCAACTTTGATTTGAAATCTTCTCCATTTGTCTTGAGATTTTGACCTTCGCGGTGATGTTCCCAACCCTTGCCTAGGTCATGCACACATACTCACATCAGTATAATACGAATTCATTTTCTTGGGCAATAATACAAAATTCAATATAAATTAAATCAAATGAAAAAGCAGTCTAGATAATAAAATTGACTTTTTTTTTAAAAAAAAGAGTAAATATCATACCCAATACGTCCTCAACCCGCCTAAGATAGGTATTTAGGCGTTCCTCAATCTGTCGGGCCCAGATTATGGAGCCCGCGACCGGTGGGATATCACGCAGTTTACTCAAACGGTAGGCTCTACTGTAGCGATACTGCTTTTTGAATTTTTCGTGCAGAGCTTCGATATCCTCCCTAACTCGATTGATTAGTTGTGTTTGGTATTCCCTTATGGCTCCACGGATGTGTGGACGCACAAAGAGGGCATTAAAACGTGAAAAATAGCGGAACATTTCATTAGCACTTTTTGCAGTTCCCAAGAGATCTCGTAGTCTTGCTGCTATACGTGTCTCGACGCCGTCAATGCGTTCTTCATAACTGAAAAAGGATATTTGATTAACGATATGAGAGAGTAGATAGAGGTAAATGAAGTTAGAGATAGCTCACCGTTTAATTGTAGCGTCCCACACTTCTGTTCCTTCCTTGCTGAGATCAAGACAATCGACTTCTTTTACCAATTCAAATGCTTTGTTTACATCATCAATAGCAGTTGCATCAGCTGCATCTAAGAGGGATTCGTCCATTTGCTGTTTAGATTCACCGTCCACTGTTTTTTCCTTCCCAGATTCGGGTTGAGCAGTTGAAGATCTCGCTGTTGGTCTTACACGTACAATAACCAAACGAAGTTGTTCGTGTTGGTGCCACAACCTAATGACGAGGAAATACGTGGTTAACATAGGAAATTCAAACCGTAAACATTGAAAATGTACGAATAGGCATACTTTCTGAGATTATCTAGACGGGTCTGAAGATGACGGTGTGCAAGGTTAGTGCGCCAGACTATCCGCATCTGTTCTTCGCGCTTTTTCTTGCTGATTTCACGCATTAAGCTTTGGATCTTTTCGTACTCATCATCCCACACACTAAAAACATCGAAGCAAGCCGTCATAATGTGTTCGAATTCCTCATAGGGCATATGCATCAGCCGGCGAGTTCCAAGGACCTTCAGTAACTGCGACGTGAGGTCCCGAGAGATAGCCTCAATCAATTTCAAGCACCGTTGGAGTGGGTACTTAGTGTTGCGGATTTTTTTTAAATGGGAGAAGATTGCCACAAGCGCTGACCTAATTTTATCCAAATCCGTAGCGGAAAGAAGATCATTTAATGGGAACTCCTTCATGAGGGGATTATAATCATTCACCATGTCTATGGCACGAGTCAGACCTGTGTCAGCGTCAAAACTGACGGTAGCGAGGAATCTCTTAGCCGTCCTTAGAATTTCGAGTGTGAGTGAAACTTCTTGAGAAGAGCGCTTCTCCTGAATCCGCGACAGAGCTCGCTCCAAATTCAACCAGAATGTAACTTCCTGCAGAGCTGTCCCCGAAGAGGGGTCACGATTAAGACTCGTAACCTAAATGTTAAAAACCGTTACCACAAATAAATGGACACTCTAAAAAAATTCACGTGAAAAAATGAGTATGGATTTTACGAACATGCAGAACAAAAAGTTATGCGCAACGTAAGAAATGAAATAGTACCTTTTGAATATCTTTAATCCAGCGGTTGACACCAGAATGTAGAGAGTTTAGGAATTGTGCATCGTGAATCATTGACTCAAAATCAGCAACCGTAGCACGCCTACCCTCTTCTTTGCATTTTTGAATAACCTGGAGAACTATTGGATTTATCGCAAGTGTTATTTCAGGAATGTCAATGTTTTGTTGAAGATGAAGAAGCCCGATTTCAAGTTCAGCTATTTTCTTTTCAACGCTTGGAGCAACTTTATCGCCATCCCTACCATTCTTTTTCAAGAAAATTACTTGTCTTACCGTTCGGCTTTGCCTGATTCCTTGATGTAGGATTTGTAATAGGGACTAACAACGTTGCTTATCATGGAAAGAAGCGTCTCCAAAGGCGCCCCGTCACTCAGTGTCGCCATTCGTAACTGCGAAGCAAACGACTTCCCAGATTCAACAACTGGGTTGCGCTTAATAAAAACCAAGCTAAACTTTGTTTGTGGTGTGACGAGAAATACCTTTGCATTTTTGGGTTTGTATAACGGACATCGGTTGAAATCTTGTACGATAAGCCGGTGTCCGCATTATCGCTCTCATCATCGTCGTCTAATCAAATATTAAAAAATTGGCTTCGCAAAATTACCTTTGTTGGATATTTTTTGCACTAGAACTGCATGGCATTGACCGTCATTCAAAAATTTCTTAATTGACTCTTGGGCAGAAGGGTCAAGAAGTGCTGCATCAAGAGCAGCCAAGTCTTCTGTGTCGTCAAGAGTAGACACGATCTTTTTAATGTAACGTATAAACGCATCTGTTTCAGCAACCGTTACAGAGGACTCTGGTAGCCTCTCAGGAGCATCAGAAGAAACGTCAACCATTTCGTAAAAAGGTAACGCAATATTACTGAATGAGGCAGCTTCACATTCAACACATTGAAACAAAAATCAAAAAGTAGAAAAGAAGTTTGCAGCATTAATTTATAATAAAGCTCTTGTTACCGAACAGTATATAATGTGACGTGCACATTACGCTGTTCCCGTGCAAAAAATTTGTAAACGAAAAAGCAAGATGCATTAAAAATTATTACCCTAGGAACCATAAACTTAGACTCAAACACGCCTCATGAAAACTATTAAAATAACATTATCCGAAAAGCAAAATTAGTTAAAAACAATTACTAGGCAATGGTTATATCTCCTGAATGCATAATATTATCGAGAACTATTCACAATTGCTCAAAGGCGAAATATGGATCTACGAGGATCGGGAGACAAGCATAAGCAGTTGCCTATAGCCCCACAATCGTTGTATAACAGGTCAATTATGTCCCAGATAGCGAAACTCTGGCAGTACAGAGGCTATATTCTAACGACGATAACTTGACTTAGAGAGTTAAACACCTGGGGAGACGAAATGGGATATTGGATTCTTGGACGTTATCCCAATAATTAAGGATTGGGCAGGCCTATAAAGAAAAGAGATGTAATAAGGTATCCAGAAGGGAAACATGGTAAGCTGTGTGCGTGACAGTTCCCCAAATGAGAGTGATAAAATTGGAGGATGTGGAGGTCTGGGAGAATTTTTGACGGATTTGTCAGGCTGGATATTGTGTCTGGGAGTTAAGGTGACTCTCCACTTAAAGTACAAGCCCAAGTGATTACAGTTTTTAATTAGAGGAAGGAAGAATATCTAGTAAGTAAACAGGATGTTTTTGTTTTTCCGCAAAAGTGGGCCCGGTAAATAGGTTAAAAAATATTTTGAAAAAAATAAAAGATATTATGCAAAATTCAAGGCTGTCTTTCACTTTGTAAATATTATGTTACCGTACCCTCTTTCCTTCGTAATACCAGTCGTTTGTTGTACTTGTACTTAAGCACTTTGGTGAAATTTTAACCAAGACGATTCTCAGACTAATAAATCATTTTTTATCAAATAAAATATACAGCACCAGGATAGAGGGGTCATAACATTTACTTCGAATACTGAACAAACTTTTACTACTGCTTTGCAATCAATGTCAAAACGGACACTAAAACCCAGGTTATATTACAATTAGTCTCATGAGTGTAAAACTCGGAAAACAATTTGGAGCATTACGGTTTAATGTAGTTTTGGTTCCCTATATTTTCAGTTGCAGAACCTGCTACATTTGAATTGATGTGCATATATCACTTTTGACCTATTTATTTCTTCTTCCACTATCCTAGGCCTTTCGAGTTTTAGCTCCTTCAGAAGATCGCACAGCCCAGCTATTAAAAAGGGCACTGAACATTGTGACAATGAATCATGACATCCAGTGCTGAACAGGAAACTAAAAAGACTGCCAGAGGTAAAAAGATATTCATTTTTATGACCCAATAGGTTTCGTTGTCAACCAAATTATATCTACCGTTTTTATTCGATGGCAATATGCATACGCAAAACAAGGCAGCTCCACCAAAACAGTGCCAAAAACGCTCGTTGACAGATGGACTACCCCGTTCGGAGCTTGCCACAACATCACTACAGATCAAGAGACACAAATTGAATCGGAAATGTTTTGAAATCTAAACTGAATTCCGAAAAAGTGACTGCATTTCTGCGACCGCCTAGCATCTTAAGTCAATTGGCATGATAAATCGTCAACCGAAGACCGCTTAAGAGTTCGCAGTGAGTTGATCCGTTGGTCCTACTCCGTCATCTGGGAGGAAAGACTTGGGCTGTCTCTCTGCAAAAACGGCTTGTGAAATGACACTCAAACATTCAGGATAGCCTTTTATTGCAATATGGCAAGTACCATAATCAGATCCCCGGAGACGCGTCCATTGTCTACGCGAAACAACGAGTAAAATGCACATTCAACTTGTTGTGCCATAATTATCTAATCCAGAACAACAGGCTATAGTCAAAGTCACTTCATTCTCAGTTTTATTGTTGACCTGGTTTATCATTTACCACACATTTAACGTTATTAATGAAAGTGTCATGTAGTTTTATCGAACAATTGTAACAATTATTTTCTTTTTTGTATCCGATGTGAATAATACTAACTTTAAACTTAAAGTTCTTTTAATATAACTCAATATCGTAATCAACGAAATTACTTCATGGTCTGTAGAAATCTAACCTGTCAAGGTAAAACAAATTATGAGTGAACAGGTGTAGGGAATCCGAATTTGTTCACTTTTAGCGGAAGATATAAAATCATTTGTTTTTAATCTGCCTTGTAATCATAAGAATGTGTGGAAGACAACAATATCACGGTTTTATTACAGCACAAATTGTTGCAACTTATCTTTTCCAACATCATATCCGACATGATAACGATAAGTTAATAGCAACTAATCCTAATTGAACTTGCAAGACATTAATCCAATTCATTCTTTTAGTGTACACAAACCAAAAGCATATCTACAATAATAACTCCACAATTTTTCTGAATGCATACAATATCTATTACTTATATTGGAAATCGATGCTTACTCCACAATTATTATATTTTATCTCTGGAAATGCTGCCTGCATATGCCTTCTTTATCCAGTCTACAAAATTATTTAGCTGTGGTTGCCATGGCACGCTTATTCATTTGTGTAAGCCTTGTACAATCTTTTTCCATAACGCAACGTTTATTTCTCTTAGTCACTGTACCGCGACGTTTTGAGCTTGGACGTAGCGTATGTTTGTTTGTTACTTAGACTAAATAAAGGGCAAGCTTTTTTAGGGGTTTCCAATTGAATATTAAGAATAATGAGATACCAAGCAAGGTGAAATATATTATAATCAGGTGGCCTAAATTCATGCGAATGTTAATAATCAACCGTAATGTTGTACAATTTATCAATGTGAAAATGGATAACCTTTTATGAACTCAAAGGAGTTTTGTATCACTGAGTATTGACAGGCAAGTTTGATAAAGTATCCGATAAGTATTTAGCAACTGATTTTGAATCACGACCCTTTGCCAGTAGATGCTGGATTTTGTTTCAGGCAGACTGTTAAGCATTCCGAAGCATTATTAGAGATATGAAAGGTGCGATTTAACTAGTTTATTTGACTTAAGCGTTCATAAGCTGCTGCCCATCTGGACCTGCCCTACGGGCCTCACCTTTCAGTATTTAAATGTTTCACATTCACTCTTGTCTATAGTTTACCGCTTATCCACTTGGGTCAAAAAAAGGCAAAAAACAAGTCTAGTTCCTAGTGGGATCCAATGCGAAGAAGGCTTTGACGACAGGGCACTTTCAAGCAAAATGTCGGCGTTTGAACACTTTTATTTATGCTTATTAAAACTAAATGGGTTTCCCTTGATTACATTAAATTTTAAAGTCGTGAAAGATGAAATCATTGTGAATGTATTCACGCGAAGAAGTGAATAATCTTAATCCCCTTTCCCTTTTTAACATTAACTACAATGGTTAACATTTTATTTGCAGTTTCAGTTATTTCAAGTGTCTGCTTTCAGCGTGATGTGATATGTATGTGTTCCTTTGAGTAACAAAATACGTTTTGGTTTCCGTGTAGTAGACCTTATTTTCATTACTAGGACAACTAAAATAAATTACCGAAAGGATGACACTGTACATCTCTGTTTTCGGAGAACCTACCCTAGTGTTCATATGTTGGGTAACTGAACTACTTTAAATTGTCTCTGCAAGTTGAAACTACGCAGAAACTGTAAATAATATGTTGAATGTACCAAATGCTGAAGTGCGTAAATATCCAAAGCCGTTCCACTCTTTCATACAAGAGTTCCATGTTTTGATTGAAACTAACACTAACTGGCCACATTTCTTTATGGAGAAGTCAAAAAGAGCATCAGTATTTTATGCCTCACTACCTTAAGACTTGGGCATTTGAACTACTTTTGAATCATTTCTTAGTTGTTTTACCAATGCTCCATTCGATATTCAAGCGAACCAAAATAATGTGGTTAGATGGATTAAAAGCAGGAGCCATGTCGGCGCCGCTTGATAACTAATCATTTTGCTCATTAATTCATACGAAGTTGCAGATGAACCACTGACAACTATAAAGGACTGCATTCTTCACCACTCCACACTCTAGACTGTTAGTCAAAACCCGAATCAGACGTCATAAAAATCGTGAGGTTAATAGCAATGTCGAAGTCATTCAATGAATACCCTATAACATTTATTGTGTTGCTTCAGTATAAACTTTTATATTATTATAATTTTTTTTGATCACTGTTCATAGTAGGAACTAGTGGTACTGTAGCTTGTCTCAGCATGATAAGACGGCGTATGGAAGGTTATGCGAATTAATCAGAACAAAGGACGGCCCTGGAACCCCAGTATAACCAAAATGAGTCCGTTCTGAATAAGGGTTTGCTCATATAGTCGGTCCTGCATGGTCGTGTCCACCCATTGTAGCGACATATTGGACCACGAAGGGCTCAGCAAATCTTCTGTCTCTTTGCGTTTGCATGGCATGCGAGGAAGATATCCAGCCAACCAGAGATAGACACGTAGGAGAAGCAGTATATAATGAACGGCAAACCCATCGTGGTGGACTGGGGTAGCCGGAGCCTGAGATATGATTCTGACTTATAATTGGACAACAGAGCCAATTTTATTGTTCTAGTCTTCTTCATACTATGGCTCTAGTATTCTACAGTATATTTAGTGTTCGATCAGCTAATTGTTTTTATATTTATCGTTTAGAATAAAAGCAATAAACATTATACACGCATATTCTTCTGTATATGATGCTGTGTTATTAACAAAGCCATTAAAATAGTACAAATAAATACAACCTATGTTATTGCTGCAGCCGCGCTACATGATACGCTGATTTAACGGTCATCCTCATTGATTTGGCTTTGGACGATGCAGTGAATAAAAAAGGCGTCCTCATTTCTATTCTAAACAAAACACTCCA